AAGCCTAGGGATTCGTGTGCCACCTTCTCTTTTCCATTTTCGGCCGTAGGTTCCGTGTGACGGATCATTATGTTCTTGTAGGATCCATTTTCATGAAGGATCACGGGCTTTGCTCGAGTAACAGTATCACAATATATAGGCAAAAGACTATCTCGGTAGTACTTTTGAGTCATAGCATTGCCTGTCGACTTCTTAACAATATCGTGTGACTTGCTAGCTTCCCACTCGGCAACCCTCTTCTCGTGATCTCCTACCGAAGTATATCTACCCTTCTTAGGCTCCCAAGGATAAGGTGGCTTTTCGGTGTGTTCTTCTTGCTCTGCTGCATTGTTGTAGAACTCTAGTTTCTCCCACTTCTCGTACCAGTTTACCCACGCGGGCATATGTAGAGCTACTCCGGTTTTATCGGGACGCTGGGCAATGATTTGACTTTCGTAACGTACCGTCTGATCGAAGGACTTGTGGCGCTCGTTTTTGCGAAGAACCATAGTGTGCTTTGTCGGTAAAGTACACGGTGTCTCACCAGCCTTCTACCGGCTTCCCCTTATGCTTCAGACCATACTCTTTTCGTGTGTCCCGATTTGAATCTTTGAGCACTTTGTTAAAATCTGACGCTTTTCGCATTTGTGCCTTAGCACGCTTTCGCAGGTTACGATTAGCTTGTCGTCGACAAAGTGGTAGGTTAGTTTCTGCAAGTTGTGCGTCTAGAAGCTGGCCTCAGTGCGGATTTGTAGTATTATCGTTGGCCCACGACTCCCACGGTTTTGACTGAACTCGGGGGTTCCGACCAAACTTCTTCAATTGTGGCCTGGCCCTCCGATAAGCTGGAGAGTCTTATTCTCTTCGTTGCTTTAGCCATTTGTATGTCAGAGTTTTGCTAACTTTGCACTTTTCGATAATTGACGGTCGATTATTTCCCGCAAATCTGGTCGTATAAATCATCTAACCAGTACTTTACTAGCGTATTATATTCTCTACGTTTCTTTGGAGTATTGGGTACTAATTGCGTAGTATGTGTGGCACGAGGCATAATTGTATAGAGGATATCGTGGTGGTACATCGAGTCGCGCACTTTTCCTTGGCACGGAACTTCAAATATAGATAACAACCCCAATAAAAATACTAAATTTTTTATAAGTTAAATTCTGAAGAGCTAGATATATCTTCTTCTATTTTACAAGTTCGTACATTATGGCCAGCTTCTCCGCAAGTGCCACAGCGCCGTCTAGACGGTTGTCTCTCAACCCGATTACCCCTCTCCGCACGTAAGTCGCGTCGTACCTGCTCATCTACCTCTTGCTGAGATAAAATACCATGTGCATCCTCTATTGTAAGTGCACCTCCTTCACGGACACGCGTCTTTTTAGCCCTCCGGCGTTTGGTAAGAGCTTCACTTGCTGCTCGAAGTATACCGACCTCGGCTGACAAAAGGACCACCTCATGGGCTAATCGCTCTGTACCTCTAGCTGACGAAGCGACTGTTAGGAAAATAGGTGTTGGCGAGCTTCCTTGGTGACGAGCAATACGATTCTTAGCAAGAGTTGATTGTGAGAGAGCTTCAGTAGGGTTGTGGGGTGTCTGAGAGATCAAAGGGTTGGTGTTTGCCGAGGAGGGCCTAGTAGGTGTTGGAGTCCGTAACCTAACATCAAGCTTAGAAATTACAGCCTGGGGATCAAAAGGCATTAAGCCAGCTCCACGGAACCCAGCTTTAGCGTTTTGGGTTGTTATTGACTCGTTATAAGCTGCGTGAAAAGCTAGAAAAAACTCGACCTTGGTGATATGGTTTATATGAGCCTTAATAAAAGTCTCAATTTGACGCCCGTACATGCGTTTGAGAACACTAAAACACCCAACACCAAGTGGCTGGGTTAGATGAGAGGAATGAGGAGGTAGACAAAGAGTAATAATGCTGTTTGCCTTGCAATACTCTTGGAATTAGGCTGACTCATGGCTCTCATGCCCATCTAGGACCAACATGCGATATGGTCCTTTTGCCTGACTGCGAGTATGCTTGTCGAAGTGTTTTATCCATTCTAGACCTGTCTCATTGTTGGTCCATCCATTACTTGTCGGTTTAATAACCCAGTCATGCGGAAGAGCGCCCTCAGTATACCAGCTGGCGAGGTGATTCTTCCCTTGAACCACCAAAAATGGAGGGATGGCTGAACCCTCTCCATTAACACAGATAATCGCTGTAGCCCATTCCCGATTGCCTGGCTGAACAGCCTTGCCTCTGCCACGTCGATCGGCGCGTGTAATGACCATTCCAGCACAGATAATGCCCATCATGAAACCAGTCTCGTTGAAGTTGTAGAAATCGCAGTCCTGAATCCCATATTTCGCCCGCATATTCTCTACTAGCCGAAACCACGCTCCAATAAGCTCGGGATCTTCGCAGAGGGCTCTTTGGAAGTCGTAAACGCGATTAAAATGCGTCTTTAACTCTGGACGTCGTACAAATCGTTGCGCCCAGTTCTTTCCGACGCGTCGTCCTCCTCGCGATTCGAGTAGATAATTTGCCATATCTTCAACACGCTCAGTCGGGGCGCAAATCCTCTTATATCCAGATCAAGTATATATTGAATAATCACCTCCTCTTCTATCTTAGTTAATTTATGATTTGCTGGCCGGCGTTCGCTGAGAGTAGTTCGACCAGCCATTCGATCGGTTAACGTAGAATAAGGGACTCTGTATAGTTTCGCAGCTTTGCTACGGTTCATTCGTTTAGATGATCGAATAGCTTCGATAGCTAGGATAATTCGAGCTTCTTGGGTTTGGAATTCCATTGGTGGTTGTTAAGAAAACGCGTGTTAAAGTTAAAGGTAGTGGGGTGGGGAAGAAATTCACGAGGTCCTGATAATCACGAGGTCCTGGTGTACCACGTTAGAGTATTTGTTTACTTGTTTGTTTAACATATTACGCCTCGGTTAAAATTTCGAAGTGTCCGTGGAATTATGTCAGCCACTGGTGATGGGGCCCCGTACAACTAACTTCGATATAATTTTCTACGTTTTGTGGGGGGAGGCTGGAGAGGCTCGCGGTGGACAAAAAAAGCGACAGAGGATAAGCACTAGTCCGAACTGACGAAATGCCAAACCACATTAAATCTCTACCAAAACACTACCTTTCGACATTAATTAATCACTTACAAATGGCTCGAACTGGCCCCAGACGGAACCAATGGACAGGTCCAGTACGGCAGGAAACACCTCCTGAACAGATAGACCCCGAAGACTGGACTATTCGGCCTATAACGCGTCGAAAGCTAGATAATAATCAACATTATACACATTACGAGACACCGCAACGATCAGCCATACAATCAATTACCGAATGGGAAGACTCGAAGCCTCAAGGAGACCGGATAAAGCGGAAAGACATTTTCGACCATTGTCAAGTCTCAGAACGCTCCGGTTATCGAATGATTAAAGGTCTACATGCAGAAAAGTGGCATAAAGAGTCGGAAGATATCGCAGAGACATCTGCCTGCCGGCATCATAATAATACATCAAGGAAAGAGACTCGACGTCGGAAGCAGATCCTCAGATGAAGACATTCACCGAGCAGAGAGGTTAGTGTGGGATAATGGTTTCGAAGGACGTACTTCAACGTGGGAATCTCTTGTCGAAGAGCTCGAATTAAACTGTCCAACGAAGACATTACAACGTTGAATGAATCACCTCGGCTGGCGCCATTGTGTTGCATGCCGGAAGTCTTTTGTTTCTCCTGACCTTGCGAAACGGAGAGAGAAATGGGCTATCGACATGTTAGCTAAATATCCGAACCCAGAAGACTGGTATCGGGTACGCTTTTCAGACGAAGTGCATTTCTCTTTTGGCCCACAAGGTCGAATTTACGTCCTTTGTAAACCAGGCGAACGGGACTGTCCCTATTGTATCCAAGAGGTACAACCGAACACAAAGAAAAAGGTCGGGAAGAAAGGGAAAGAAGAGGACGTGTCGGAGGAGGTTGATTTAGATTATGAACTTCACGCATGGCAGCAGTCGGTTACATTTTCAAGAGTGAGCTAATCTTCTACGACGCCGGCAATATAAACGGAAAGATGAATCACCGACCATGCATCGACCTAATCCTTCAGCCAGTCGTACTTCCGAAGCTTGAGCTTGGAGGAGGAGGAGACTTTGTTCTCGAGGAAGGCGGTGATTCAGGACATGGCTATAGTAAAGGCCGAAATATCGTGAAATCATGGAAGCAAAGATACGGGCTCGAGAGGTAGGTATTTAAACTGTGCCGGCTCACCTGATTTCGCTCCTGTTGAGAATAGCTGGCAAGTTCCAAAACGGCACGTCAAACAGTATCCTCACTTTGATCTCGACACCTTAAAAGAGCTAGCTCTCGAAGGTGGGCAAAGCTATCACAAGACACGATTAACCGATGGGTCGAGGAGATTCCTCAAAGGCTAAAGGATTGTAGAGACTCGGGAGGGAAAACGACAGGTTATTAATTATATTCGATGTAAATAAGTAGATAGAGATACATTTTTATGAGTTCCGAGTAGGCTCGAGGTGGGGATTGATGTTCCTTGGCTATTCTCTGCCGCTTTTTTTGTCCTCCGCGAGAGAGGTAGCTGGCACTGCCTCTTTGGTGAGCACTTGCTGTGTATACTCTTCTCATGGCCAGAGTCGAGGAAGACAGTTTGTGCTGGTAGATTCGAATCCTGCGGCTGCAAACCCATCGTGCTCATGATAACAGCGTGGCTATCTCTACGATGGGCGGCTGGAACCGAGTATGAATAAAGGAATGAATGAATGAATGAACATATTGTGGGTATAGCTTTTGCAATGTTAACCTCTTATGTGTAGTGCTTCATGTGAACAGAATGATTTTGATACAAAGTAAATTCAGAAAGAAGCAAGCTATATACAAATATGGGATCTAGACATGGTCGAGTGGAAAGTGTGGGTGGTCAGGACTTAATCATAAAGCTTACTTTATATACTTAAATTGTAATGAGGCTTCCAACTGAAACCAAGATATAAGGCGCTTTGGCGGAGTGGTTAACGCGATGCCCTGCTATGTTCCTATGCAAGCTGGTAGGCATTTCTTTCGAGAGCGCAGGTTCGAATCCTGCAGGCGTCGTACTAAATATATTTTTAACTTTTTCCTTGAATGAAGAAATCTCTTTCAAATAAATAAACGTGCAGATTTATTTATTTTTCTTTTTTTCTTTTCTTCAGAATTGCTAAAGCCAGCTGGCTGCCTAGGGCACGAGATCAGACAGCCCCATATTATCACATGGCAAACGTCGAGAGCGGCTAGGTTCCATCATCATTTCACACTTCATGAACCCATCTCTCTCTTCATAACCATGCTACGTTGTCTTCAGTATGAACTTCCTACGAGAAGTATGCCATGATCTTCTGCGACGTGCCTTGAGAGCATTTCCAAATCCCGTATATGGGTCTATATTTTTGTTCTTTTTCCTATTCACGATACACCTCGCCATCATAGCTGCAATCACCACAACCGTCGCATTCTCCATTCTGCTTTTTAGGGTAGCTCTTGTCTACGTCGATCTAGCTGTCGCTGTTATACCTTACTATATCTTCGGTGCCCAGCCAGCTATTGTGAAAATCAGGCCACAGCCTCATGCTACCCGATCTCCGACAACAGTCTTACCAACCCGTCGACGCAGACGGAGTAGCAGCTCGACTAGTAGCGACCAAGCCGCAAGCCCTCTGGCTCGGGTCGCAAGTAGTGGCATCCTCACAATGAGCGCAGGGCCTACACGCGACTTTGAAGGCATTGGCGGATGGCGATTCGGCGGCCCGTCAGATGATGAGACTTGGACGAACATCAATTCCAAGCTAGAACTGCCGACTGAGCATAGACGAAGGCACCAGAGATCCAAAACTTCTAGTGGATTACCAGCTTCTCGATTCAATCGAGTTACGAGTCAGGAAGCACTTATGAATACTTCGAAGGCTAGGACACCTCCGAGTATGGGGGTTGCTGGAGAAGGATACTTTCCTGCTGTGCTTAGGAAGCAGGGTGCAACGAGTACTGCTGGATGGAAGGTAGCTGCAGGATGACTGGTTTGAGCATGAATTCGCGAAAATATCTATGATTCGGTTTGGGGACTATTATTGGGAGGGCAACCAACATTCAACGGTGTTTGGAGTTTATCAGAGATATCTCTCGAGCTTCGTCAGCTAATTACAACGACTTTGATGACTTGGCGTTGGATGACGTTGGCTATATGTAACGGCTTCGATAGCTAGCTGCTTGGAAGATACTGCTGCTAGGGATTTGGCTGTCAATATGTGATGCATTATCACATTGAAGTTCTGTGGTGGTGATCAAGGACCTGACCGATGCGAGCCATTAGATCTTCGTCTAGGATAGTTGTATTAAGACCGCACTGAATCCATACAGAACCGGATTGTCATATATCATATCATTGAGTTCATACTATGCGTTTGGACTCCCGTAAAACACCATGGTATCCAACATAGCGCCATTTATCCACACATCCCAAATTCTCAGATATCACAAGTTCCTACAGCGCCTCCCAGAGGTAATTCGCATTGAAATACCTTGATGCTTTCCCATCAAAGCTCACGATATTCAGATTCCCCTGTGTCCCATGTGAAATGACCGCCTTATTGTAATTCACACCACCGCTCTTCTCCGGCTGAATGCCTAAGCTACTGAAGATCTTCAACTTCAGACTTATCTCATCATCCACCAGTCCGCGACGCGCGTTGTCACCGCCATCTACACCTTGCATCTCTAATTCCTGCAGTCGCGCTTGGAGATCGGCTAGCTGCGAAGAGAGACGCTCGGATTCAATCTCGAGATCTGATGCAGATTTCGCGATCCGGAATTTTTGCGTATCGAGTGTTGCTATTTTTGAGGCGTGTGCTGTGGAGGAGTGTGTTGACAAGGTTTCGCTGTAGTTGTTTTTGAGGGTTGTGAGGGTTCGCGACAGCTCTGTGGACCATTAGCATGGCTTGAAGTGAGCGATTTGGGGACAATTTCGTACTTTTCAGCGCACTTTCTGACTCTCGGACGCGTAAATCGCGAGCTTGTTGTAGTGTAGAAAGTGATTCATTGATTCGGGCGACAGCTTGCTTGTCTGGCGCTATATTGAAGTTGCCAATTGTGTGCTGGATAAGCTGCGATATGTTAGACGTGCATTGCGCCGAGGAGATGGAGATCATACCGTGGCTGGATCTTCGTCCAGCAGCATTTTCGCGGTTATGTACTTGGTCTGAGGGATCTCGAAGCAATTTGCGCGTAGTTTGATGTCTAGTCCTAGTCGTGAAGGTTAATCAATCAACAAGGCTGAGCATATTATCTGTTGGCACGGTGATACGTGACGTACTTTTTCAAAGCCACAGAAGGCACAAATACATGCGAGCGCCACTTCCAAACCCAAAAACCAGACTGCAGCACCACATAAGGCATCGTACTTTATCACACCATCGTTATTTCCTAAATAATCTTCTATACCTTCACCTTCCTTCATACACCGCTCTCTGGGTATCTTCAAGATGCCCTCTTCTCTTCCATGTAAGTATGGCTCCTTGTGCACCACCTCAATCTTTTTGGAGAACAAACCTTCCTCTATACACACGATATGAGCTATTCATCAACAACTTTCGATCGGAGACAGCGCGGCTAACGAAAGTTATTTACTCAGATGCTGCAGATGCTGAGAGGTGGGGTTACACTGTCTTATCGCAGATCTCCAAGCTAACATCTATCTAGTCCATTGAAGCCACAAGAGCTTCAGGTACTCCGAGCGCAATACGAAAAGGAAGGCGAATATGTTGGCGTACAGACGAAATTCAACTTCGCATGGGTATGGCTTTTCTTAACACCTGATCTGAAGCTGTGCTGACGGCAGTACCAGGGTCTGATCAAATCAAATCAACGACAAGAACAGCAAGAAGGCGTACGCCTACTCTCAAATATCTTCCGCACATCACCAGAACGAAGACGGGAATGTCTCTACTACCTGGCACTCGGCAATCACAAGCTTGGAAACTATGCAGAAGCACGACGATACAATGATCTGCTGCTGGAGAAGGAACCGCGGAACCTGCAAGCAGCGAGTCTCAGAGGTTTGATCGATGATAAGGTCGCTAAGGAGGGCATGATGGGTGTTGCTATACTCAGTGGAGTCGCGATTGCTACGGGAGTTATTGGTGGTATGATATTCAAGGGTGTGGGAAGAAGGGCGAGGTAGTTGGGAGTGAGGAACCGGGCCGGGAGATAAAGTGATAGGCGATGTGTTATATACCAACTTTGACCTTTGACAATGAACTAACGTATTATGAGAGTGATCGCATTCATCTCTACGCATATGTATTGGGCTCATGCATCGTCTAAAGTTCATACACACAAGCCCCGTGCGGTCTTGGTCTATCACGAAGATTTCGCCTGGATCGACTTCGTCTGCCGTACTCTAGAATGGTACAGAGATACCAAGCTGGATAGCCTGGAATTACAAGTTACAACATCCAACCGTTGTTTGCTCCAGCGACGTTTCCAGAAGCACATATAATGATGTAGAGACATGCAGTAGCTTCTAGTACATTAATGCCACGTTTGTGATTGATTGATCCATTGTAGTACCTCCAGTTCATGATTGGTACTATGCACTTGCTCAGATTCTGCTGCTGCCCTTCTGGTTGATATACCACATAACACAACCTTCTTTGCCACGAGTAATCCTAGCACTTAATAGACATAAGTGCCTTGCTACCTACTCTTCCCATGATTCTTCCAGCTCACATTTCAAGTTGGACAAGACTAGGATATTCTCCACTTTGGATACTGATACAGAGCTCGGCTATATAATAAGCCGACCCAGGCTCGTCATTGCAGACTCAACGACTTCACTTTCTGAAGATAAAACAACATTTTCTGAGAGGGGACACACCCAGACTTGACGCCCACTTTTGTATACAGTTTCAGTTGCACAGTATTGCTTTCTCATATCCCTGAGTGACACCTTTCTGTCACACGCATTAAACCCCTGAGATCAGCTTCAACGCCACAGCTCCTACAGCTACAGCTTTACACACGCAACGTCAAGTTTCCGTACCAAACCTCTTTTGCCTTGTGTGTGTTATACATTTCTTGTAATACCAATCTTGAGATAATCCTGAGGCCCTATACATCGTGGCATTCCGAGCCCTGAGATCTGTGAGGTTGGCATTGAGCCTAGGACTTACTGCTGTTGTAGGTTACCAAGCTTATAACAATTTAATGAACATTCGCCGTCGCGGCAGTGATGCTACTGGGATGGATGCTGGTAGAAGACAAACACGCTTGGATGCTACACATGGACGTCAGGTTGTGTTCTGCCATGCTTGCTTAAACGAATGGTATAGAAATGAGAGAGCGGAGCTGACTTGTCCCTGCTGCATTGGCGATGTCGTTGAAATCGTAAGTATCTTGCACCCTCTAACATCGATCTGTTACTGACCCTCTGAAGATCAGTCCAGGCTTTGATCCACGACCAGCGTCACAAATTCCAGAAGAACTCCAAACTCCTAGCCGTCAAAATGCTCAATGGGCTCCAGAATTGGCCCATGCCCATGCCCATGCCCATGAAACGGTTCATATGCCTACTGAAGATGATCAGCCCATTAGTCCAAGTCCTCCATATGAACATGAGCCCTGGTACCCTGGTCCCAATGGTCTTTATGTAGGCCCGAATCACGCTCCTCGTGGTCTCAGAAGACGTTTGTCTGGAGAAGCTGCTATGAACGATCTTGCAGCGGGCATGCAGGCATTTCTCGAACATATACTGCGTGATGGATCCAGACCTGGCGCCGCGCCTTTCCAAGCTACATTTTCGCTTCAGCGTGGACAATATGGAACTATGTAAGCTCTCCCGTGGAACGTTGTTGATGATGAATGGACTAACAAACTCTGCAGTGACATTGCAAACCACTTCAACCACGCCATAACAAATCTACCGAATGGGGCAGGTGGGCTTGCTCCTAATTTAGATGCTGTATACTCACAGCAGGCTATGGATCGAATCATATCACAGCTTATGAACCAAAGAGGCTCGGACGGTCCTCCTCCGGCATTAGCTAGCGACATCGCGGCTCTCCCCA